AATAAATAAATAAATAAATAATGATTTGAACATGCCTCAGGCATACTTACTCTTTGTCCCCTCCTCCCATTGCATCATCAGAGTCAGAATCCTCAACTGCTGCTTTTTCTGATGAAACTCCTGATTGACTCTTCTCTTCTTCTAAGTCTTCTTGGTTGAAGCCCTACAAAAAAAGTGCCACCATAAGGTTGGATTTACCACCAGACGGACAAGTTGTGGTTGTGGCTTTGATCCTTGCACGTTAATTACAGTGTCTTGCAGGTTTCAGTAAGTTAAATTTAAAACCTTTTTAAGACCTTTTAAGACCATTATGAGTAAAATTTAAGACCAACACGATGCATTACTAGAAACATTAGAATTATACCAGAAATTCTCATATTTTAATGTCACTCATATCCTTAGCCCAACATCCACATATCATGTGTGTTTACAAAGTGCATTTTAATAAGTTCACATGTGTTTAAAGCATGTGGGAGTAGTATTTTAAGGCTTAAACTATAAAAAGGTTCATCTATATAGTCTTTCTATATCGCGGATTTTCACCTATCGCTGATGGGTCTGGAACGTAACTTCCGCGATAGGCGGGGATCGAGACCCATCAGCGATAGGTGAAAATCCGCGATATAGAAAGACCATATACATAAACTAGAATTGCAATTCTGTGTTATTAATAATCGTATATATCAGAACTGTAATATGTAATACACCTTACATATGCCATGAGGTACCAAACTGTTTAATAAAAGCTGAATGGACACGACATCAGGAATCAAATGTTTATTTTTTTCAGATAAGAGATACCAGCCTAAAAAACCTAAACAAAAGAAACCAATAAAAACATTGTGATATAATTTAAAACCTCTAACTGTCTGATTTTTAGCTGTACGTTAAAGTCAAGCCTTTCGGTGGAGAAGCAGCACAGAGGCCGTGAGATCGGGTGAACGAGGATTAATTAGAAGGAAGACAAAACAGGAACATCGAAGAAGCGCAAGATGGACGTCAATGACCGGACTAGAGAAACATACCTAACGCAGACTTAAATACATTAGACTAATGAAAACAACTACAAACAGCTGATAAACACGGGGATTCCACACGGGGTTAATGAGGGGGCGTGGCATACGGGAGGAGCAGACGAGCGGGGCAGGACATACTGTACTTTTAATCAGATTTTTTTAGATTTTCTAAGCAATTTTTATTCAAATAAGTTTTTTTTCCATCTCTATTTTGCTATTTTGTCTTGGTTTAACTTTTTAAAATCTTGTTTTTATAAGGCACATTAAATAACCCCTGTGTATGATAATAAAAACTTGCCTTGTCTTACCATAAGGAGACCGAGAAACGTTCTCCTCAAGACCACACGGAACTAAAAACTATATGCTGGAAACTAAGACATTCACAAGGTAACTCCATTAAAAGCTCTGTAAAAGTAGAAATGTGTTTATTTTATGATAAGATAACGTGAGCCAACTGGTGAGTAGTTGCCTTTTAACTGAAAAAATTCACTCGTCAGAGAAAAAAAAGTTACTACATCGCACTACATCAGAACATTTAAATTGCAATAATGTATGGCATGAAATAAACTTGTAACTATATCATTCAGTAATACAAATAAAACAACATACCGTTCACATTGGCCTCAAGAACTAAGTTAGCGTTTGATTCAACTGCACTTCCTGTTGTGGCTGAGCGTGTACCTGACGTCAATGGCTGAAAGTGCACGTTCTGCAGCCAGACACTTCTCAAACTGTTGTTTGTTTGCCTAGCTGCAGTGATCACGCAATGGGATTTGTAGTTTTATTACCACGCAGACACCGGTGCAGACCAGAAAACACAACCAACGGATTAGTTTTTACAGCGTTTTACTATTTTTTTTTCTGTGGACAACGCTTTTTGGGAATAAACGGAGGTAAGAATTTTAAGACTTGGGAAAATTAAACTTAAGATCTAGGATGAAAGACATTTTAAGGCCTTAAATTTAACTTTCTTAACTTTAGACTTTTTAAGACCTTGCGGGAACCCTGTAATTAGTATGTACACATTCTCCCTTTTCTTTTGTGTGCTTACTCCACCAACTGACATACAGTCATTTGCTTGCCAAGAGTGTGCACCATGCAATGGACCAGTATTGCATACAGGGTGTACAATGCCCCTAACTACAACCTGTCCTGGATGAGTGGCTCTAAAAGATTGATGGATATAAAACAAATGAGCACAAATACCGTAATCTCTTCTTCCTCCTCATCCCCCGACTCTCCAAAGATATCTGCGATCATCTTCCTGTGAAAATGCAAAATCCAATGTGTGGTTGGACTTGATAGTTAAATGCACTGGATTAAACACAAGTTAACATATATATACATATCTCTCTCTCTCTCTCACACACACTATATATATATATATATATATATATATATATATATATATATATATATATATATATATATATATATAGAGAGAGAGAGAGAGAGAGAGAGAGAGAGAGAGTTCCTTTTAAACACTATCCAACTACAAATTATAAATTGTAACTGCTATAAAATTGATCACACAAGACAAACACTGACTTACTCTTCCTCATCAACCGAGTCACTGTCAGAGCCAAACAAGTTTTTCTGGTCCTTTTTTCCAAATTCAGTTCTGTTTCCATCTTCATCTTCCTCACTATCAGATCCCAGCTCCTGCAGTTTGGCTGCCATAGATTTTTCAGAAGACCGCAAACCTCCATCACTGGCTGAGATTTCTCCATCCAACAGTAAGCTTTCCTTCTCCACTAAAACACAAAAAACCCCCAAAGAGCAAGGGTTTAGATCAAATCTTGTGAGGAAAAGAACACTAATCTAAAAAACAAAATGGGCTATTCCTTGCATGCCAACAAACTCACTTGGCTTTATCTCATGCTCTTCATCCTCACTGTCAGAAAGAATGGCTTTCTTTCTTTTCACTAAAAAGAAAATAGGGCATTCAATGTGACCCAGCAGAAAGGACATTTGGATTGTAAGATTTTTGTGTTACATTTAACATGTATTTATAGACAGTGATTTTTAAAGCACCTCACATGACATTCATATTGAAGATTAGAATGACTATCACATACCAAGGTAAAACTACGGTGTGCTACTGTGTAAAGTGCATAAGTATGGCTGGCAGGAGAACTATTTAACACATCTAGATCAACAAGATTAAGTGTTTTTTACTTTTAATTTGTGGCTGACTAAAATACCTTTAATACCCATTTTGCTTTATAATTTTAAGTCTAGTACAAGCAAAACATTTAACAAAAAAGGGATATACTTACTGCCACGAGTAACTGAAATGCCTAATTTAACACAAAATGCTTAAAATGGATGACTTTATATTAAGTTAACTATAAGCACAGAGACTACAGACAGTCTAACTACCTGGTTTTTCTTTCCTGTCATCACTTTCTTCCAACTGCTCCAGCTCTTTATTCTCCTTTTGGTTCCTCCCTGCAGGCTGCTTCAGAGTTTCCTCTTCCTCACTATCTGACTCTATGATGGCCTTACGTTTACCTTTGCCTCTGCTGACCATCCTGTCATCAGATCCAATCTCAATATTCTGTTTTCTGGCCTCAGTCTCACAGTCAGCCTCCCCAGACTGGCCTCTCTGGACTGACATTTGCTCCTCAGAATCATTGTCATTAATATGCTGCTTTGGTTCATCATGTTCAGAGCTCTCCCTTCTTTTCAGGAGGTCCACCTCATTTGTGTCACTGGCAGTAGGTCTGGAAACACCCTGTTCCAAGTGACTGTCATGTAGACCGTTCTCAGAGTCGCTGTCGCCTTGCCCGAGATCATATTCATTTTGCATAATGTGCTCATCATTAGATTGGTTATCATGGGCTTCACCTTCTGCCTCACAGTCTTCATCCTGTGTATTGAAGGGGGAAAAGTTTACATTGTTTAAGATAAAAGGCATATACCGACTAAGGCATTTCTAAGCTAATTCAGGATCTTAAAATTGTCAATCGATTCCAATTAATTACAATTTATCGTAACACAAACTGGGAAAGTTCGCATAATGTATATACGTTTATTAATACATTACAATCCATAAGGAGAAAGACACCACCTCGAAACGACGTATGGCACTGTTCACGTCATCTTCGTCGAGGGATTCGGGCGCGAGCTCGTCCTGTACAGGGGTGCCACCGCCATCATCTGCAAACACATGGCGGTGACGAACATACGCTCTGCTAGAATAACATTCTTACCATCACCATTATCACCAAACCTCACTTGCTTAGCACTATACTTTTGATTTCTCTTTGTCAAAGCAACATACATCGTGAACAAATAGCACACTAGTACTAAATAATACTCACCCAACCATCTATCCAACTACCCAATGCAGTTATTTTGCTTTACGTATAACTACGTTATTTTAAAATAATAAAATTGGTCTGAAACACCAATTAAACTACCTGAACGGGCTCCGGAAAAGAATTCCTCTTCTCCATCCATCCGGTCTTTCAGCTTTGTGAAACTGTGAAGTTTAAGGTACCCGCGTTGCTGGAACGTGGCTGAATAATATTACAATACAGGTTGTAATCTCTAACAACCCTGAAAACCACAAAACAACGACAGGCTGATTCACTGGTAACCAAAACAATGCAGCGGTCGGGAGAGCCAGGCCTCTTAAGGCTAGAGAAGAAAAAAGTTGAAACTGTTAAAATTAAAAACTAAAATAAAAAAACGGAGTGTAAAATAAACAAGTACGAATAATTTAAATTATAAACGAATTACACGACAACATCATTATTTCCGATGTAATGTCCGCATTCACAAAATGGCAACTAACTAACTTCCTTCTACGCATGTGTGACTTTTACGCGCTTTCCTATGACGTGAATACTCATCTTGTCGCGCGGCAGCAACGTAACTTTTTTTTCTTAATTTAGGAGAAGGGTCGAGAAGGATCTGGCTGCAGCTGCTGTGGAGCTATAGATAACAAGATGTCGCGTTGAATACAGCCGTCTATGGGAGCGAATGCGTCAACAGAGCCGCCATCTTGAAACGGGGTAGAGCTCCTTTTAAATGAATGAACGTATATCCAAGGTAGCTTAGAGAATCAAAGAACTATAAATTCGCAAATTTGAGAAGCGATTTTTATTTTCTTGGTTCCTTATAAATGTCAGCCGCGAGTAAAATGATAGCGAAGCGGTTTTTGTTAACATAGCCTACTTTTATGTTCAAAATGTAATGCGCATATATGTATTTTTCCCATTCGAAATAAAAAATTACACTCCTACTACATGCAGAACAATGCAAATACAAACACCACAAAAAAGGCCAGCAACGTTAACTAAAAGACCCTGGCAATCTCCATGATAAGCCCCGTACGTAGCGTTACCACTCATACATTTACATTTATGCATTTAGCAGACGCTTTTATCCAAAGCAACGGGCATTTGTATAGATTTGTAGAGATCTATAGACAACGAACTATACACAATACATTTTCCAGACAAGGAAAATACTTTTCTTTTTACATTTAATATGAAAGATGAACATCCATTTACCTGCTTATTTGGAAAAAGAACTATAGACAGGGCAGGTCCATACACACAGACATCTTGTATAGATATGTCAAGAACTATAGACAATGAACTGCAATATATACAGGTTTAAGTACAGAAAATGTGTCTTTCCTGTGGGGTGGGGGTAGCTGTAACCCACCAACAGCCTGCTTCTATAACTTTGGAAAAAGATCTACAGACAATGAACTAATATATACAGGTGTCAGTCCAGAAGCTGTGTCTTTCCTGTAGGGTGGGGGTGGGAAGACAGATAGAGGCTGTGTCTAGTATGTAGTATCCATTTATCAATACTACTTTACTCAGTTTCTTTCTCAACCTGCTGCTCTGTAGTTGGTAGAGGTGCACCGATCCGATATTCGGATCGGTATCGGCGCCGATCCAGACCTATTTGACGGATCGGAAATCGGCCATGCGTGACCGATCCACGTCCTATACTTACTTATTTAGTTTTTGGCAATCTCTAAAAAGACAGCTCCTATTTCGTGTTAAATCTATTTGTACAATCAGTCGCACGACAGCTCTTTCCCATTTTACATGTGCTTTTTGTGGCATTCAAATCGAACGCTAACGCTGCCCCTCAGTCTTTTTTGCTACTCAGTGGGTGTGAGTACAGTGACTTCCGCCTCCTGAGAGGTCATGCGCATACCTTTCGCAGTATGAGGCAATAGGAGCGTAAGATATAATTAAGACAGAAACCAGTAGCACACCGATTTGCAACCTTTGTAAAATAAAGTTTTGAAGGGTGGGAATAGCGTTTAATGGACAATCCCACTTAACAAAAAAAAAAAAACCAATGGATGATTTGGGAGTGATTCGGCACTTGTGCATACTTCTTTTGAAGATATTCATATTGAACTGCAAATGCCTCAAAAACGCTTAAAACAAGACGTACAAACGAGGTGGAACAGTACGTTATGTGTGTTTGTAGTAGCTTAATTAAATATTTTTGTCATATTTTTTCCACCTGTATATACACTCACCTAAAGGATTATTAGGAACACAGTACT